ATGTTCGGTGTTTGCCGGTGCTCGGGTGTTCGACTATCTGCTGAGGTATCCCGCTGCACTGGAGTTACTGGTTGGCACTGGACAGCAGCTTTCTTTCGTTCATCGTTCAGCTCCCTCCCCCCTCATCCCCCCGCCCCCCCTGGTCCGACTGCCGTTCTTTGCCTTGGGGACAGCGTGGCACGGGTTTGCGGCTTTCGGGAGTTCTGGTTGTGGTTGTTGGCGAATTGCTGTGTGGCGGTGTTTCGTTACGAGGTGGCACACCGCTGTTATCGTGTTTTATTTGCAGACTTCGCGGTGAAGATGAGCGGGAGTGCTGCAAAAGTCGATGGGGCGGTGGTGGCGGTAGAAGCGAGCGATGGAAGAATGGCGAATGTAAGGGAATGCAGTCCCTTCATCGACCTGGACATAGGTTAGTGGTGTTGCTTTTTAGGTGTGACCATCCGCTCTGCTTGAAAGTTCGCTGGGATCGGGGCTGCTCTATCAGGGGATGGCAACTTTTCTGCGTTGACTCTTCCATTATGCATGGGAATTATTCATTTATCTTTTTAATGCAACCATTCTGGCACATCGGCTGCTTGCCAGAACCAGAGGCGGATGGTGGTAGCCGTTGCGTTTCGCACCTCTGATGGAAAAGTTACTACGTTAACTGCCCATTTCATAGCCAAGCATTTTTTCCTGCTGATGGTAAACTCTATTAAGCATTTAACAACGCAGTAAACAGCAAATTTTTTATGCGTTTTGTGCTGTGTAACAGCAGTACAAAACGCATATTGTTACCGGGTTGTGTGTGTGTGTGTGTGTCCGCAGCAACTTGTCCGCAACTTTCAACTCGGGAACCACAAAAGCCTAGGAAAGCGCTGAATAGGGTAACGTTTCCCACCCACGTGTGACCCCACAAATTTAAATTCAGCTTCCCCGTACCCACGGGTAACGTGTACGGCCGGACGTTCCCCACCCATGTGTGACCCCGCAAATTTAAATTCAGCTTCCCCGTACCCGCGGGTAAGACGTTCCCCACTCACGTGTGACCCTTCAAATTTAAATTCAGCTTCCCGGTACCCACGGGTAACACGTGTTCCTCACCCATGTATGACCCCCCGCAAATTTAAATTCAGCTTCCCCGTACCCGCGGGTAACGCGTATGGCCCAGTGAAAGTTTTTCACGGGTAAGTTAATATCTCGGGAACCACGAAGTCTAGGAGGCTGAAATTTCAGGGTAATGACCCACTTCCCACGCTCAACCTTGCCCATTCAAATTCAGCGTTCTCGCGCTCTCGGATACCACCTACGGCCTCG